ATATGGTGAGAAAGAAACTAAATCTATACCTTGTACAGATAAAGTAAATGTAGTCAAATGTCCAAACTGGTAGATAGCTGTGGGAATAAAAGATGACTTTGTTGAATCTAGGCAGTCTTAATCAACGGCCAGATGGAAGGAGTACAAATCCACTGTGCAGGGGGTAGTCTGATGGTAGACTGATGACAGTCAGTGATTATATTGGACTTCTGTACTATTTGTTTGACGTAGATGTCTGGATGTTGTAGTTGTTGTACACCAATAATTTTGCTGGCTACCTTCACAACCTTGCTCAGTCTGTTTATTACAGCATACGTATTAAGGTTACCAAAGCAGGCAACCGCACTGAATGTTAAGACAGATTAAAATATGTATTAGATTCAAACTTAAACAGATGGTCTCCAGCTGAGCACCAGCCCCAGCATCACTGTTGCTGATCTGGCGATCGTGGGCAGTGCGATGTTAACAGTCTGCTCTCCACCGGACACAAGCTGCTGGGCTTTCATCAGATCAATAGGCCTTAATCCACATCAAGTGCTTTCAAATAAAAGGTTAGATAGTACCTTACAGATACCGAGTTCTTTCAAGGAGATTAAATCCTCTGAAATGACCTTTGGTTGCAATCCAGCATTCTCACATTACTGGCTTGTCTGTCAGTCACCGAGCCACACAGCTCCTTCACCGCCTCTCTGTACAATAGAGCAGTGTGTCCTGGTGTGCGGGGTAGGAGAGCCACCCGGGACCATGATGAGGCTGCCTTGCCTGACTATTGTAAACTAAGGCACAGTCACAAAGGCACGGCATTGCTTGGTGTCTGTGTGTAACAGTTCAAAGCATTTGTCGGAATCCCTTGGAAAAATGCACACTGCAGTAATAACTACAGTAATTTAAAAAGTAGTGTTTTCGGCAGGATGCAACCTTTCTAAGCCTATTTAAATAAAAGGAAACTTTCTCATTCTCAAATATTTTGACATTTTAAAAAGTACACATGCTTAACGTAAGCACTGCTTATAACATATTACCACAAAATAAACTGTTGTTTGAGGTTTAAGTTGTGAGGTGCTTGTTCAGGTTCCTCAATGGAAAAAGGCCCATCTTAATACTAAAGTACTGTTTACAATTTAAATGGAGTTTAAGGCTTTTTTGCCTTCCTTTTACTCTGTACCTTTGTCCTTGTATTTGGTACTAACCCTGTTCTGAAAGAAAATCATGATTTATATTTCTATGTACATGTCCATACACAGTACTGCTAGAACAAGCTCTGCCTTCACCCCAAGCTCCACCGACGAGAGAGGAGACCATTGTCACCATGGAACAGAAAAACCAATAGCAGACTTGTAGAAGAGCTCACATCCTGGACTGAATCGAACGACTGAGATAAGAAAGTCTAACACATTCTATTCCAGTAACAAATGAAATGGCAGTTGTATCGCATCAAAAAGTCCCAGATTTAGTGTGCATTCCCTCCCATGCTAATACGGTGGACAAAAGACATTTGTGTTCCTTCACTAGGGTTGATTTAAGATTATAGAGATCTTTCATGAAGGTCTTTACAACACAGTATCAAGTTACAGTAACATTGGATTGAGAAAATTGATAGAAAGCTGAATATTTTTTTAAATTATCTTCAATTAGAGTCATTAGCAGTCAGTAGAGCCTGAGACACCACCCAAACCACATCCTCCTTCATGCCTTTGATGTGTAACTTCTTCTTTCTTTCCAATCTACTGAGAGGGAGACGGCTTTACGCGGGGAAACCTACAGCTGCAGCGGTCGCCATCCAGTCATATCACATCTTCAGGAAAAACCCTACAAATTCACCAGTCGCAAGAGTGTGATCTCTTCAGGCGTGCACAAGGCAGCACTCAAAAAACACCAGCCCTCGTCCAGCAGGGATACGGCCTGGCTGTGAGCACGGGGCCGAGAACGCCCCACCAGGAGCTGCTGTGGGAGAAGCCATGTGGAGAAGGGAGGGGTAAACAACGAAGGCAGGAACAGGGGCTTAGGCTTGTTCGTGCTCAGCCGGCATTGCTGAGAGGTTCTCTCCCTCTCTCCCTGGAGCTTTTACTTTTCACATCTCCAGACATTAACAGCTTTTATGGAAAACAATGCAGAGGAATTAAGCGGTGTGTTTCAAGCCTCTGAACACAAAAGGAATTTCATTTCCTTCACCTCAAAATTATCAACCATTTCAACTGCAGCCGGTATCCAGGTCAGGACACACTCCAGCCACAGTGCTTCAGATGTACAGGAAAGAAATTTGATAACAAAAGCTCTCACAGCACAGGGGCTCCAGGATTTTTTAGGGGGGCTTTTTAAACACAAATACTATTCGTTACTCATACAACTCAGATTGCAAAAATGGAGGAAATAAAACACCATCCAGCACCTGCGCTTTCGTCACATGCCTGGGCTGACAGAGTGGGTAGAGGCCTGGAGGAAAGAGGCGCCATAGGCATGCATACTGTTTAACATTCAAACGATGTGCAGGCTACAAACACACCGGTAATCAACATCATGCCAAGCTCTGCTGGTAAGAAAGACATCTGTCATCTGACTGTGACCTTTCATTTCTGTGCTAGGTGTATTTTGATATAATCCCCCCAACAGACAACACGTCTCTGCTATTTGTTCAGGAGTCACAGATCCCCCTCAAACATGCTCACTCAGACAATGAATAATATTCAAGAGTCACCGTAAAAAAAAAGGGGATTTCTAACATTTCTAAGTAGTCTTTACAACTATTGTACTGTTATAAATACAGCACACTGATAAAATAATTTACCTAATAACGGCAGCAAAAAAAAGACAAGTGAAGCACTCACTCTAAATGTACAACAACGTAAAAATTACAATAAAAGGAAAAAAAAAGAATGCAAATACAAGAAGAAATCATGATTTTCAACCAGCTCTGTGCACGGTCCAGATGAGACAAATAATCAAGAGTGTCTACTCATAACCTTGCTCTCTCCCAAATCCTCCCTCCTGTGCTCCAGAACCAGTGCTGAAAGTTGCAATATTACGAGTGGTCGAAATGTAGCCACTCCTCTTAAAATCCTGGTTGAAATGCAGGAGCTGTGAGCGGTGCTAAGATCCAAGTCTGGTGTTTGCAAGCTCCTCATCGAAGTATAAAGCAGACCCAACAGCTGAGCAGCTGCTGCTTGAATTATTACCTTGTAGAGCTCAGAAACAGCTGCTTGCTCTGAGAGGATTGATGACTGCGAGCTGGCAGGGCCTGACTTGTTAGAGGCTAATATAAAAAGCCACTGACTATAATTTCTGTCTCTCATTAGACACTTGGACTTAACGTTGGAAGACAGATTCAAAGAGCCCGTCATAACCTGATTCTGGCCTACCAGTGAAGGCGAGGGTTTTGTGTTGCAATCGACCAATTTTAATCTATGGAACCGTTGGAAGAGGCAAGAAGGAACGTGTCATACAGCAAGGAGGAACTCGCTGTAGGGCTGGTATTTGCCACATCTTACTCTAACTCAGATCCAAAATACTAGTCTAGCCACTAATTCATGTTCTGGAAGCCTTGCGGCAAATACCAAAAGAGTTTAGGGGATATTAACTTCAAAATCTTACATGAAATTACAGCACATTATCTGGGCTAATTCTGATTTGAAAAAATCTGTCAACATTCAGTAGCTTTCTGAGAAAGACAATAGTTTTTAAAAAATTCATTTTATCAATTTGTACTGCTGACTCACAGATTAATTTTAATCTGAACCTTCCAACACAAGCTGTGAAATATTATAATCACGCACACGTTTAAAAAAACAGAAGAAACGGAAATCTTTTATGAATTATTATGTGGCTAACCTACCTTAATCTGGTACGTTATTAAGTAGACTTGCAAATTTGTCATAATTAACACAACAAACAAACCAAGATTTATATTATCAGGCATAAGTTCATAAAGAACCCACGACGCTGAGTGATACTGTTCCTGCAGGTTAATAATCTATAAAGGTTCTTAAACAGAAGTTGACCAGAAGTTTGGTAAATTATGTTCAAATATGGAATCCACCCCTCAACTCACAGAAAGCCCTTTATTCCTGGTGATGGCTGTGGCAGCCTGAATCTTATCTCAGAAACCTATGGTGCTAGCCCTGTGCAGGTCGCCCCACACACAGACAACTTAAAAACACCAAATAACCCAACCAGGGTGTGTTTGGAAGCTGGAAGGGAACTGGAGCACCGGGAGAAAACCCAGCACACACGAAGAGAATATGCAAACTCCACATGAACTGGGACCTAAAGGTCATCTATCATATCTCAATGAACAAAGAGCCGCAAGTCGTTTTACTTTTATTTAGAATTTGAAAGGACCCTGTTTTAATAACTATTTTTTCCCAACATGTTTTTCCCAGGCTTGGACTAAAACTAATAATAGCTGATCTGAGCACAGCTGGAGCCAGCTCCCTGAGTCTTTATCTTTGCTTGCAAGCTACCCTGCTATACAGTAGGTCACTGATGCCTATAAACCACAGACAGAGCCACAGAAACTATGGGAGACAGATCCATCTGAAACTGTGTGAAATGCAACAATCAAAACAGAGTCAAAGGAAAGCAATTACTGTACATTGAAGCAACTGCAAAAATAAAAAGGGCACCTACAGAGACACCACTTCAGAATGCGGAATTCTACATTTAAGCTTTAGAGATGCTTGGCTTTTACCTACAGTGAAAGAAATTAGTCTAAATCCACACACCAGGTGTGTGTATGTCTGCTTCAATTACTGTTGCATTGCTAACAGGCTGAAAGACGTACTGTTTCTACACGGTATTTGAGCTGATAATTCGAGCCTTCACAATTGCAGGTTTCCCAGCAATATACTGTACACATCCCACTTTTCTGGAACTGATGCTGGAACTACCACAGTGCAACGAAGTAACAGAAATGGTCAGAAGTGAAATAAAAACTACTGTATCTGCCCTTAGCTGCATGGAAAGAGCCCTGGGGCTGTTTGTCGGAGGCGAGACGAAGCACCTACCTGCCACGTTGACCTTCTCTGCGTTCCCAGCGCCCGCTCCGGCTCCGGCGGCGGAGGTGCCGTTCGTCAGGTTGCCCCCTGTGCCGTTGTAAACGATGTTCTCCACCTTGGCCTCAAGCTTGCCCAGCCGGAGCAAGATGTTGTCCAGGAGAACAGCCAAGGTCTTCTTCAAATCTTGAAGAAAACAACAACAAGAGAAAGCACAAAAGAAACCGTCAGCCTGACATGATCAGCATTTTATCAGCCTCTTATTTTTAGACAGGACATTGTAACAAGGAAAACAGGAAGTGCTGATGTTCTTAAGCAGTAATTATAACTTACTGTAGGTGCAGACTATCCCATGTCGTTTTTATATAATAACTATTGTTATTGACTTTAACTGCAGTGCATTTAGGAAAAATTGTGATTTTGAATCATTAAAGTAATTGTTAAATTTACTCATTTGCTTTACATAATTGACTGTAAAAAGTTAGGAACCCTTTTTTAAGATAACGAAATGGAGATTCACGTGGTGTTTCAAACCTTTGTGGATTTTTCTACTACAGTAGGTATTCTGGTCAAACTGGTACGTGAAGATGTCTAGTGAAGACCTACATCAGCGTTGGCAGCAAAGGAACAAGTAAAGGTCACGTCCACACCATTCTTCGGGTGTGAGGCTCAACAGCTGAAACACTCACTCTGCTTTCCAGTGGGAAATTAACCTGGACTTGTTCCTTTGCAGCAAACTGATTAATGTTTCAACAAAAGGACATTAAATCATGAAATTGTTTTGTGTACACACCGCAGAGCATTTTTCCACCAGCAATGCAAAACCCCTTAAAAAATTACATTAAAGAATATTCTTGTGTGAATTCATGTTTTTCCTATAACTTCAAACAGAGATCCCCCTCATGTTTAAACAAATACTAGTACAGGAGATGTTGCATGCATTGGTGGCAAAGACAACCTTCAGAGAACACATTAGCATCAATTCACTCTTCCCCTGGCACCAAACCCCAGATGAGATTATCTGTGCTCTCCTCCCCTAGGAGATCTGCAATTGTTCTCCAAAACTCTCACATTCCTGGATAACAGCAGAGTCCAATTAATGATATGATACCTTCTGCTCAAATCACTCTTTGATGAGACAGAGAAGTTAAATGCACATCTTCATAAAATATACATGGACATTAAAACATGCTGAGGAGAAGACTGCAACAGTTTAGTTGCAGTAGAAATGCAATAATTTTACCTCCCTCTAAGTGAGCCATTATGTGACATTCAAGTAGAAAGGGTTTATGTTAGTACTCTGCCTTATAATCAGCTTCCTTAACTTAACTTCAGATTTCAGGAGATAACACTTTACAACTGCCCTGCTGTTCTGCTAGACTGTATGTGACCAGGTGTCATGAATTTGGAGCGCACAACGTAAGTGGCACGTACAGTATAAAGATTTTTGCTCAGAAGCCTGCATATAGCAAAATGTAAAAGTAGTTGTGCACTTTTCAAGTTTGAGAGGTTGGCAAAATAATTTTCTGCTACCTCAGAGAACATAATATTTGTCAATAGATTAACAGCAGAATGGAAAAGGGGGAACAAGTGCTATAATCATAATCAAATCTGTAGTACAAGCTGTGGGCTCTGGACCACAGGGCTGTGGACTCATGGCAGGTGGGACAACAACACACTTCAGTATAGGGGTTAAATGGGAAAATCGTTGTAAATTGTAAATGAGAATTTATTCTTGCATGATTTACCTGATAAGATAAAGGATTAAATCTGACTGGCATACACCAATACACCTGACAGCGTGAGTATCTGGAATGCAGTCTATTCAGCATGGGAACTCAATTTACTTGATGCCCTCTTTGCATTGTGATGAACCGCAATGACCTCAAGGTGATACACCGTGTACAGTATATTACTGGAATGAGGTAACATACCATAACAATTAACAATTACAGCTTCCTATGGTCTTACATACTGTAGGTCTGACTTTTATCATCAACTTTATTCACTTTGTTTTTCACCTCAAAGTCATGCTGATATCATGTACACAAATATTAAAACCAGCTAAAATAATATTCAGGTTCTTCATCCACATTCAAAGAAATGTTACAACTCCAAAATGATTCATTTTTAGCTATTGCACCAGGCACTTAAAATATTAAAATACCAAAAAGTAGTTAATTAGCTTCTGTGGTACTGTGCAGATCATTGTTTTCAAATGTATTTGGCCTGACGATCCCACTAAATACAGATGCTTCGTCCTAGAAGAAATATTAACTACAAATGTGCCTGTAATGGAAAACGTGTTACTGCAAAGTTCACCTACATGTTATATTTTTTGCCTAATATTATAATCACCAAGTCGGGTCAATACCATATTCAGTGCCTTTCCTATAATAGGTCCCCGTCCAGCACATTTTACACATTATGCACTCACTGAGAGCCATAAAATGCACTTATTTTCTGTGATGAATGTTTTATGCTCAAGTGCGTACTTTAAATGCTAGGGTTGGTGCTGTAAATTTCATACAGTATACTGAAGTACTAGCTTCTGCAGTTTTTTCTAACATTTAAGCATTTCTCAATTGAACCTTATTGCTACAGTCCATTGTTTTGATGATATGATGGTAAATACACCTCTTGATGTACTACACTCTTCTCTGCATTAAGCATGCCTACAGTAATTGGTACCACAGCCACCCACCTTCTATTGCAGGTACTGTAATAATGTGCCTGTAAGGTCTCCTCTATCTAACTCATGCAGCTTTGCTTTTCACCTATGACTAGTTCCCCAGTATGCCTCCACTGACTCTCTGCATTCCTGGGAAATGCAAATAAATACAATTAAAGGTGAACCTTCTGAAAAAATAAAGATGCCTGTTCAAATGCATTTATACAATTATATGGAAATATCAATACAGATGAACAACTGAAGTTAAACAATGATGTACACCAAACATCACAAACATCACAAGCTCCAAGATAAGGAGCAAAACACTGTTTATGTATACTACAACATCCTATTGTTTCATTCTGAACTTTCAATTCCCAATTCAAAAATGTGGTCAGAATTTCTCACTGACAAGTAAAGCAAACAAAGTCATTGAAAGAGAAAATGTAAGAGATATTGTATGAAGCAGTCATCATGATGCAATCGGAAATTCCAGACGGATTTACGACCCTGTAACGATAAATCAGCCTTGCATTAGTTTATGCCTCAATAACAATAAATAAGACTCTGACTAGGGGGAAACAGAGCTCCGACCTCCAGGATCACGCTTCACTGAGAGCTTGCCACAGTTCCACTGGGAACCTACACAGTTGCATGGAGCAGCAAGCGGACACAGTAGAAATGAGTTGGAAATGTCAAGATGCTGCCAGGGCACAAACTAATGTCATCAGTGAGAGGGAGTTAATACCCACCCACAGCCTCTATTAAATGGGAGTGATGCTCAACAGGATGCGGCAAATAGGACACAGACATGTTGCTTCCCTACATCTGCTCCTTTGTGCAACCTGCTGACCCTCTGTCTCATGGGGATCTACTTCCAGCGCGCTTGCATTCCTGCTGAAATCTAAAAAACTGGTTTCAAAAACTAGCAAGGCTGGTGGCACAGACTCAGGTAAATGCTTCTTTTAAAGGGAAAAGGTAGTTAGTGTTTGAGACAGGCAACCTATGCATCTGAAATAGATAAAAATGAAAATCAGGTGAATGGTTATGTATAGTAAACATATTAACCTAGACCAGTGAAATTACACAAGCACAACTTACACAGATACTTAGATAAAGCACAGAACCTAGCAAAACATACTGAAAGATTTAAATGTTCCTGAATGAACACATGTACCACAGTACAAATCATTAGCATCGTACTGTAGCAAAGGAGTGCATTACAGTGCTACTAGGAAAGCTTCTGCTACTGTAACTAAGGGCATCAATGGGTACCGATTACAGCAGTCACTGAGGCTCACAGAATTGAAGAATGGCGTTATTGTCAATGTAGGTTAAATTTCACAGGAATTCACATCGCATTTTTAGTTAAGACACATAATGGCCTACAGTATATGAACTACACTGTAACCACAGAGGCTTTAAATCTGGAACACTGGCACAGAGAGAATACTGAGGTGCTCTATGATGGAATCAGCACAGCGTCTAATGCTGACACATTGTGTTCTCTCTAAATGGACTGAGCGATACTTGGCAATCGCCGTTCTTCTGGGCATTTCTGAGGCACAGAACAGGTAGTGCCAAACCCCTTTCAGAGTAGCCACATTATCCTTTCAGATTTTATTCGGAAAATGAATGAACTTTAAACAAGCCAGCATGGTGTGTAAATACACTGCACATCATTCAAAACAAATTTGAGACAACCTATGTACTGTACTGTGTACTAATGACCATCTCCTGCGCAGCTAAAACAGAATCATGAAGTTACTTCCAAAATTTTTAAATAGTCCATGCTTGCCTGGACATCACACGTCAAATGCATGAACAGAAATATTCACTTCATGCAGACTTATTTGTTTATAAATATAGATTTCCCATTGCATCTCTTCCTTTATACCACTGACCGCACTCAACACTTCAATATCCTGCACCATTCAGGAACAGAACAACTCACAGGAGGTTTGTGAAGCAGACACTGTCAGTTCATCTGTTCCTTTTTCCAACAGGAGGATGAAAAGTAAATTGCACCACTTTATGCCTCAGAGGCAGCAGACAATTGTTATCAGAAACACATTATTACTGATAACACTGCAGATTCACACTCGCCCAACCAGCTACAGTAGTTCACTTGTTCACATTAATCAAAGTTTCCTCCTGCTGCCTTCACCTCACCCACTCAAGGGGACCCTTGGGGTAGGCATGTACCATCTCCTGTGAGCTCTTCATCACAGCGTGCGAGTGGCTTAATCACTTGACTTGAACCTACAAACTCCAGGCCATAGAGCCTTGCCCTACAATTTATTTTAGTGATATGGTAGACGAGAAGATCTTAGCAAGCTAACCAAGTCACATTGTGGCATCATCATAAGACATTTTCAGCTTAGTACTGAAAAGCTACAATAATGCAACTCTGAAGACCTCATGGGACGCAAGCTCTGTTTAAACAACATTAAGATAGAAACCATTTAAATCACCGTTCACTTGTCAGCTTGGGAGTCTGATCCACACATCTTAA